GAGAATGACTGAGATCTCGCAGTGATTGGACCTGACCCCTGAAGACGGGACAGATGGACTCCGAAGAAAACAAATTCAAGATAGCTGGGAAAATTATAAGGCTAGTCAACTGGGAAGGAAATCAAAAAGAATTAGGTTTTTGTTATTATAATCTTATTTTTCTGTCAAGCTGGGTATTGCAAAAGCTGGTTATACTCATAGTAACTATTTCCGCAAAGACAATGCAGAAAAAAAAAAGTTCTGCTCCAGTTACGTTACAGTTTATAACTACAAGTTGAAAACACGTGTAGTGGTTTTATTTGTTGGGTGGTTTTCACACAATCTGTCTTGTTTTGATAAATGCGTTTCTCTAATCAAAGTAAACACATAATCTCAACACAAACTTTAACCCCTTGTTTTGATTCTAGTTCTACAGAATTTAGAATATGCTAAAGATAAATCAGATAAAATAGGTTTTAAAACGTCACTTCACATTAAGAGTACATTTTCTTTCAATTTATTGATACCTAAAGATAGCAAAGTCTCAAATACATATGATGAATATGTTTAAATTATTCAGAACAAAATAATTGTGTATTTGCTGTCAAGTTCTAATCATTACGCTAAATAATTTTTAACATAATTTTCTACACCAATCTGCTGACTGCTTTTTCTGTTTGATTTCCTTTTCTTAGTGTTAATCAAATACAGTGAATTTAAGTATCTCTGTAGCAAAGATATGTGTTTTTTTCATGTAAAAATACTGGAGAGCTTCCATGTTCAGTTTACCTGATATAAAAAGAAAACTACAGCTACTTCCTTCTTTTAAAAGTGTACAGCTTTGGAGGGACATGAGAGAAGGGGAAGTTGGGCTTTATGGAGGGGTGGGAAGAGGTTGGGAAACTTCATGTGAAGGACTAGTAATAAGATGTGATGTTAACAAACTGAAAATAAACGTAAGCACACTTTGCTGCAGCATGCCAGACAGTTCCCTCTATTTCCCATTGTGCCTTGGTCGATACAGTGGGTGAGGCTGTAGCTTATGATGGTGTGACTAACAGAAGACAACTAAGATGCCTTTTATGTTGCCAGCCAAAATTTCTCCATTCTCACATTGTGAACTTAACTGCAACATCTTTCTGTGGTGACTTTCCACAGCTTAAAATACTCTGGAGGCTTATCTGGTTTTGGGAAGCAACCCTTTAATCTGATGTACAGTGCTGAATTTGGGATATAATGAGGTCATCTTATCTTCATTGAATAAATTAATTCAGTTTACTGTCTTAAACACTAGAAATTCACTACATACCTGTAACAAAAATGCTTTAAAAAGTTACTTTATACTTCTTCAAAGCTTGGGGTTTTTTTTAAATGATATATATCAAGTTCTGCATATGAACTAGCTGAAGAGGAAGTTCTTTGGAAATATTTGACATTAAGATGAGTGTATGACACTAAACCAGACTGAATCATGAGACTTACTTTAACGACAGATGCCTCCACTCTGGTTTTATTGGAAATATGCAGATAGATATCTCTTCCTCACTAGATGAAACTTCTTGAAAATTTGTTGAAACTGAGCACAGCATTTAATAGCTTTATAATTGGAGTAGTAAATCAAGAGAGAGAGGAAGGGGAATGACACCGACTGAAATCCTAGTAGATATGGAGATAACAAGGTGTTTTGCCAGCATACATTTGGTGCTCTTCACCGAGTCTGCCCTTGGATCTGCTCATCCTTGTGAAGAACCTCAGTCTCACATGATTGCTCTGAACAGTTGCAGGTCTGCAGTAAGCTTCCTGGCAATTGTATGTATTAGGTATAATTCTCTTTTGCTAGTCTCACACAGTTTTGTCTTGTTCCTTTACCAAGTGCTTTTCATTTAGATTTTGCTGTGAACTTAATATATTGTCAGACTTCTTGACTTCCTGCTCTATGAGCACAAAAGTCCACAGATTTCGGTTATGCAATGAGTTTCTGACTCAGGGAGGACAAGGAGGGGTTAAGACACTAGTGAGGCAACAAGGAGAAGAAGACAGACAGCCCACTGCAACTGGTGCGGTGTCTATAGACCAGGCATACTGCTCCAACAAGCTCAGTAAAGCTGGGAAGGCAGGTAGGAGCCCTGGGTGTGAGTCTCACACACAGTGCTTAGTGCCATTCTCCATTTTAGCAGTGTCCATAAATTTTTAGCCTTATAAAGCCTTTTCTTCTGATTAAATGCTCTGACATGACTTGCTCTCTACAACTACCTGAAAAGAGGTTGTAACAAAGTGGGTGTCAGTCTTTTTTTCCAAAATAGGACAAGAGGACGAGTTGTGCCAGGGGAGGTTTAGGTTGGATATTAGGAAAAATTTTTTCACTGCAAGGGTTGTAAAGCCCTGGAATAGGCTGCCCAGGAAAGAGGCTGGGTCACCATCCCTGGAGGTATTTAAAAGACCTGTAGACATGACACTTAACAACAAGGTTTAGGGGTGGGCTTGGCAGTGTTAGGTTTACAGTTGGACTCAATGGTCTTAAGGGTCTTCTCCAGTCTAAATGATTCTATGATTTTATGACTAGGCATCTCTACATAGAAATATGTGAGAATGCTTTTACTGATGAGGCTACTAGTTGGTGTTTGCAAGACACTTTCCCATCTGAGACAAACAAGTCCTAAAGTACTGACACTAAAGACATGCTACTGCTATCTATTTGCTGTATTTTCCATCTTGAGTTGATAAGAGAATGATTCTGTTTGTGGTTAATGTGTTGAGACACGTGCCAAGATTTGTCATACATTCAGGAAGATGAAGATTTTCCTATCACCACTTGCTTTGTTTTTGTTCTTGTGACTTTTTGAACCCGTTCAAGATTTTGCCCTGAAAAGATTAGAACTTAACAAAGGACTGTAGGTGATAAGAGTGAGCACACATGGGTAGCTGGGAGAGACATTTGAATGAAGTCAGGGAACGCTGATGGGATGTTGGACAAGTATTCTGAGCAGGAGCACTCTCTGTGCCTGGTTGTACCTGTGCAGCCAGGAATGCAAAATCCCTGGGACCAAAGAGGGGACCTGACTCCATAGTTTAATGATATGAGGTGAGAGGAAGGAAGATAATGTGTATTTCTGGTGCTGCTTGTGCACTTGCATCTAAGAAAACATCGCATTAAACGTATACATAATATGCAACCTGGTTCAGTAATTGTTGCTCCCTAAACGAGACCACCTTGGTAGCTCTGAAATCTAGGGGGTTTTGAGTGAGGAGCCTGTATACCTGACTCCCCTGAGGCCAGGTGGTTAGCTTCTGAGGGACCTTCTTGCTGAGTAGATACTTCAAGTACTACATACCAAAAGCAGATGAATTGCAGAAGTGATACGAATGTTCCCCACTTACTCTTTGGTGAGTATAGTTCTTAGTTTCCAGCTGATGTGCTCCGGTTTTGGTCATGGGCTTATAGTCACCTGGAACAGTTTCACCAAGCTGAGGAAAGAATTTCTGAGATCATGAAGAAGCTCCTGCTCCAACACCCTTTCATTCCTGGAGTCCAGTCAGAACCTTTCTTTGAATGCAGACACTTTTTATGAAAGTCAGCCTTCACTATGATGCCAGGGATTATGGCCTTCCTCTTATCCCGTCCCATTTACCTCCCTCCTCATAGCACAAAAAGATTGAAAGGGGTAAGGGTAACATAAACCTGTTCTTTTACATTTTAGAATGGTAGCTTGTGTTTGGTGTTACATGCAACCCTGACAGCAGTCAGAAAATGAAAGTAGAACAAAATTAAAATCAGCGCTTCCCAAAACAGCACATATTTTTCCTAAAAGTGTAGTTATCTCCCTGGATAATTAAGAATAACCTTGCAAATAATCTGAAACATATCCCCCTCCCAAAGAAAGCTGCGTTTTCCTACCTTGTCTCCCTTTGTGTATGCAGCACTGTATTGGGAACGTTTCTACAAATATCAGTAAGATAAAATAAATATCCCCATATAAATAGCCCAGCTGTGGAGTTTCTACCTTGCTTCTAGCATAACTGCATTGTTTGGGTATGATTATGTGTTTTGGGGGTTCATATCTCTTCCTGTCCCCTTCACTTTTGTCATAGCATAATTCTTGTGGCACAACAAACAAAAATAGTCACAAACACTGAAATGTGGCATAAAGCAGAATGCAGACTTGGAGTTTGTGTAAGAACTTTGTCCTTCCTGCTGCACAACTTTGTGTTCAAGTGCTAGGGTTTCATAGTGGGATTTAAAATGATGGCTGAGTGACGACTGTAGGTCATTTACAGGGAACATGGATTTCTGTGAATCTGAAATTAAATCAAACCCCAAGGCAAGCACAAGTGTGAATGCAGGGAATGAGTAGTTTTCTTCGAGGTGGGAGAAGGACATCACAAAAACTGGCTTTTTCAATATCACAGTTTTTAATGAACTGATTTTTGAATTTGGTTTTTTCTACCTAGAAGGTGGATGGGATCCTTCTGGAACAAGTCCATGCATACTCTTAGATTTAACTTCAAATCAGCTGATTTTACTTTTGTTTTTACTAGAAGGAGAAACTTGGCTGGTGGGAACAGAAGCTTTAAGGGGGTTGGTTTTTTAAAGAATATTTACAGTGCTTCAGCTTCCTCAAGGGAGACCTTAATCTTCTCAGGTCAGCATGCAGCATACCCAGACAAGTTCCTTTACTAGAACTGAAAATTTTGTTTGAGTTTTGACCTGTTTGAGAAAGGGTTGCTTGGTTTGGGCTCAAATTCTGGAGCATACAAAAAACCCCAAGCAGCTTTGTGAGTCACAGGCAATGCAGTACACAGATTTAAAAAAGTAATAGTGTGTAGTTGTGGGGAAGTTTGAGGTAGAGAAATCCCCTATTCTTTCTCTTATTCTTGACTGAGAACTGTGGGTAAATACAATAAAAAGTGCTTTAAAGAACAGAAAGACCAACTGCTATCTGCAGCTAAATAGAAAGTAAATTTGGAATATTTAAGGTTTTTTGGTTTGTTGGGTTTTTTTAACATTTCATTTTTGGTTTTAGGTTTCTGGGATTTGCTACAATAGCAGTATATTAAAAGTTCATCGAATTCTTTGTGTACCCAACTGGGTAGCAAAGATATTTTCTTGGACTCTTGAACCAATCTTCTCATCCGCGGAACCAACAAATGAAGTTCGAGTGGGAATGGGAGCAACAGTTGACATCCAGAGGCAGCAGAGAATGGAGTTGCTGGATCGTCAGATCATGATGTCTCAGGTTGCCCAAATGAGGCGGCAAAGGCAGCAGCAGGTATTGGTACATGTTCTGTGAGGATTATATTCAATTTTGGGGGTAGGGGGGGGAAACATTGGGTTCATATCTCTTTTGTGTTTCCCGTTTCTTAAAAAGAGTTTATTTTATTCTTCTCCATCAGTCTGTCGTACACTGCTGTACTGCTAATAACCATGTAAGTGTTTTATGTTGCTTTAGATGTTAAAAGTACTTCACAAGATGTAAAGAAGAATGTCAGACAATCCTGTAGGGATATCAGTAGTACTGGCACTCTTTCACCAAAAATGAGACTGAAAAGTAAAGTGATTGTCTCTCCATGGTCTTTAAGGAAGAGCCATTGTGGGAAGCTCAGAAGTCAAAGTGTTTCTGACTCTTCTGAGTATTTGTATTGTTAGCATACTTTTCAGAAAGGTTAAAAATTGTCTGCATAACTCCTTTGTTAGCAGATGTACATTGAATAAGGTTTGTTTCTTCTAAGAAAGTGCAGAAATTAAATTCTCTAACTTTCTTACAGAGGTCAACCACAGGGACTTTCCGTTTGCTGTGTTTAATGCTCTTGGCATATTTCCTTAATGAATAGAATAGCAGAGCCTTTTTATTTTCCCGGTTTTAGTCAAACCAGCAAGTGCAGATATTCACACAGCTAGTGTTGCAGGACAGTAAAACATGGCAGATGGTGTCGATGAGTTCACTTTTCCTGGTGTGCTGGATGTATGTGTTACTGCTCTATCAAATGTAGCGGACAGCACAGGCCTTCATTGCTCTGTGTGAACTTATATTGCTCACCATTTAATTGTATCCTAGAAACGTGAGGTCTTACTGAGCTTCTTGTACCTGAAACAGCTTTTTTTTCAGAGACAGAAGTTCTGGTGTTTGAGGTAGTGTGGTGCAAGTAGGTATAGTGATGTTACCGTTAGGATGTTGCTGGAATTCAAGGTGGGAGGGCATAAAGCTTTCATCAACAACTGGAGTATAAATCTTTGTTTCCAGTCCCTGGTAATATAATTCTTTTCTCCTTGATTTCTTAGTATTTCAGTCTGATGCAGTTGTTCCTCAAGTGGAAAGATCCTAATCTGCTTTTCTCTATTCCCATTAGAACATTAATCAGTTTTAACGTAAGAGCTGAATTAGAAATTATTCAATTCACGAACATTGCCATTGTAATAGAAAATGAGTCAAAAGTGTCTGTTGGGCTACAGGATGATGGGAAGAGTGCAGCCCAGTTTCTTCAGACAGGAGGAAGAAGCCATTTCCAGTTATGAAGGACAATCTTTATAGTATATCTTTAATTGCAAAAAGTAGTGAATAAGTTCAGAGTGGTAAATGATAAAAGGTGAGTTGATAAAATTTTCTTCTCATCTTCTCCTTAACTTAGACTATTAGCAGTGAAAGTGGAAAAATGTTTTCTCATGTTTGACTTCAAATAGAGTTCTTTAAAAAGGTGGAAGAGTTTAAGTAAAAAAAATGAATGTTGTTTCAACATTGTTAAGATGCTTCCCTTTACAAGTTGCCAAAATATTCTCAAGTTACCTTCATGTGTGGCCTTTAACTTGAGTGCCGCCTTTAGTTAACTGATAGTGCTACTCTGTGAAACCAGTGATCAGAAAGCAATGGGATCCATGTATGAATGTTTCAGAGAGGCTTTTCAGAAAAGATATGTCATGAAAGCTTCTGACCAGCCTCTTTTTTTAATGACTTGCTTACAGAATTTACTGGTTGTTGAGTAAATCACAAAAAGCATCATTCAAAAGTGTTGAGATGTAGTGGTAAAAATGAAAAGCAGGCTAATTTAAATCTCAGAATAATATTTAATAAATTGAAACCCATTTTCTGTATTGCTGTACTCGGACAATTATTTTTGCCCTTAGAGCCTTGGGAAGGTATAATTTGAAGACAGTGGTGTTGAACAAATCACGTTACAGATGAAATTTAGATGATAATTTTACCTGTGGGAGTGAAGCTGATGGAGAATGTAGATCTGTTTCTTGGGGAGGTGGTTTTCGTTGGTTTTTTTTTGTGAAACTGAAAATAAGAAAAGCTGTCAAGTATATATCAGTCATCAAATATGGCTTTGAATTATACTCTGGGAGAAAGCTGTGCAGATTTCTGGAGTCTCAATATGCTGTCTCTACGTATTGTGCTATAGGGGAGGTAAATGAACATTTTCTTTCCTGCTTTCTGTTTTGTTTGGAAAGGGAAGTGAACTTTTAACTTTCCTCTGTATGCTGTAGTGCAACAGTTATATTTAGCTGCCCCTTGAGAAGGTGCTCTGCCCATTCCCCCTTCTCTGTTACTCTTCATTTCATCTGTTTGAGAAAAGAAGCGAGGCATTTTCCCTGTATATTGGTAGCATTGTGGAAGGGGAACACAAGAACATGATAGGTGGCTTTAATGGTACCCCATTGTCCACACAATGTGGCAACCTCTGTTCTGGAAATAGAGGCCAGTTCCTTAAATAGACACTGTACCTCCAAGATATTGGAATGTAATTATTTTCTCTTCTGCTCCCCACTGACCTGTTTTATCCAAAGCAGAATTCACTTTGGATGCTTTCTAAAAACAAACAGACAAACAAAAAAACCCAGACCAACAACTCCAGAATTTCTTTGCTGGCAACTCTTTGAGCTCTGCCTTTACCAGACTTCCTCTAGCTGAAGTGTTCTGGTATGGAGGTGCCTGAAGCACAGAGCTGTGCGTGTGGGTGCTGGATTGTCTAGACACCCATAACTTCAAGGAGTAGGTTGAGTACATGGTGGAATTTGAACATAAACCACCAAATTCATTACTGGATGTATCTCGTTTCAGCCCTTGAATGTTCAGTGGTACTGTGTGTGGATATGTTGTTAGAAACTGAAAAAATTATCTTATGTTGCTAGTTTCTCCAGGGAGTGTGGTTACATGGTGACTGATCTTTGTCTTGATTTCTAGTTGCTGTGGATACAGCCCTTAAACAGATGGTAGTGTACATATTGAAAACTTTCTTCCACAGATGATCTTAACAAATCATGAACTTGTCACGAATAGGGAATTACTGAACATCACCTCCGTGAACCTTTTGAGAGAGTAGAGTAAAATGTGTGCTGTATATATTTATCCACTCAAAAAATACCAGATTGCTGTTTTCTTACTATTTTTAAAACTTCAGTTTCTTAGTTCTTCTCTTTCCCACTCCTTTGTCTATCCTCTTTTCTAGTTTAAGCAATTTATCTTGTTTTTCTTTTTTTCACATTATCCAATCTCTTTTTCCTGTTACCACTTTCACATTTTCTTTCCTCACTATGCCATTTTCCTCCCACATTATCATCATCTCTAATTCCCATACTTTGTGTTTTCTCCTATACAAAATCCTTCTTCACTTTGGTGGTAGTTCTCTCTCACCGTGTCTCACCACCATCAATCATTTCCTGTTGCATAATGAAGCTCATAGGATTTTAGAGGTGGATGCCTCTTGCTTATCTCTTGTTCAGACAAGATGTAGTTGAGGTCTTTGGACACTGTTTTATCCTTCAGATACTGTAGTATCCGTGAATGTTTTGGACTTACTCACCTGACTTTTCTATTTCTTGATCTCTTTAATTTCCCAGCATTTTTCTCAAGTTTATCTTTGTGTAACCCAGATGAAAGCCATGGTGGAAAAAGGGAAGCTGCCTCTGCATCTGTGTGGCAGTGTGGTAGTAGGGACTCGAATTTCACTTCCTATTGAGAAAGTTGGAGGGAGGCTGGCAGATAACCAAGCTGCAGATAGATAAGGAGGAGTCTACGCCTAGATATTATTGACAACACTGAGGGCAGATGTGTGGAAGGGGGTGGAAAGTTGCGGAGAAGGTGGTGAGTGCTTTCTGTTGGCAACTAAATACCACTTCTCCTTTGAGCACTCACCCCTGTGCTTATTTTCGTTCATTCAGGGTATGAACCTCAGTCCCTTCATCTTGAAAAAATGCTTTCTGTATCCACAGAGCATTTATTCCTTCGTTCATGCTGAGCATGTTAAAGACACTGTATTGCCTGCTTCTTGGTTCCTCTTATGTTTCTAGGCTCAGAAAAGAGGTTCAAAAATTCCAGACTCTGTAATAAGCCTACAGCCATCTATGAAACCTTCATTTCACTACCTCTTTTCTTCCTTATCCTCCATTTTAGGCTTATTTTGTCTTATCCCTCCTGATTTTTTGTTCTTCTGTTCCAGCTGCCATTACTTCTCAGTGAAGCCAGACTCTTCTTTGATTCATATCACACAGCACCTCTATGTGAGATTCTACTGCTGGCAAAGAGCAGATGTCTTCTGTAACAATCTGACTTCCTCTAATTGTTCATTCATCAGATGTCTTTCTCCTGGGACAGTGGAGAGATGCTCTGTGGGTAGGCACACTGAGTGTCTTTATTGTTATGAGGAGTCTCATATCAATGTTGTTATGAGGAGTCTCATATCCTGAGAAATGTGCAGATTTCACATTTGCTCAGCTAAGGACTGTGAGGCTAGAGTGACGATTTTACCTCCTGGTTATTTCTAAATGGTAAACTCCTGACCTTGTAAAAAACTAGGTTAATGGAGCTGAGATTTTCCTGGCATAAGAATTCCTCCTCAGGAGTGTTATCCCCATTCATGATGGCAGGCAAAAAACACCTTTGTGAGTATACTCCCAGACAGTCCATTTCTACTTTCTCAAAGAGGTATAAGAACCAGACCTGAGCATATTCTTTAGCTCTCCCACTGGCACTGAGACATACTGCTTTGACAAGTCTTCTTGAATAGCTTCACAAGTTTGAGTACCAACAAATCCTTCAAATGGACATTTTGAATCCTGAAGACCTTCTGCAATCTTTATACATTACCGGGTCCATTTAAAGTCTTGTTCTTGCACCCAGGACTTTGGATTGTACCAGCTTGTTCATATTGTTCCACAGACAAATGTATCATGGTCTGGAAGAGCTCTACCAGACTGCTTTACCTGAATAAACAAGTGAGATTTTCAGCCAAGTGTTAGATAAATTCTTTTTCTCTATTTAGGTTTCCATTCCAA